ATTGCCTGAATTTGTGCATATGAAATTACTGTCTTTGGATTATTCAATGTATCATTTGATATATCTTCTAAAACATCTACAGTATCACCAACACAAAGGTTCACATCTACTCGATCATCATTATCAACTATAGTATAGCTAATACTATTGAAATATTTTACGGTTTGTGATGTAAGATGTTCAACACAATCAAATTCTTCTTTATATGCGTATCTAAGTTCAGCAAATAAATCATCATTAAGAACTTTCTCAAAGCCAGCAGTCCGTAAGTCATTCTTGTTATATGCTCCTCAGACTCTTATATTGATAAAATTTTCATCCATACAGGTTATATTATATATCTCTTCCTGCTCTGAATCTATTATTGATAGCGAAATGTAGCATGAATCAAGCAGCATACGTACACATCGATCCTTTGATAATATGCTGAAATTAAAGTATGTTGTCTTATCATATCTTTCGTCAATACCACTATCCATTAGAAACCGTAATGCTTGCAAACAATTATCACGATGCATAAAATCCAGTTCTATATTTTTTTTATTTGAATGAGGGATAATAGCCTTGAAAAGTCTATGCACCATTTCCTTCATAGCAACTGAAATATTCACTAAAGTCACAAAATTTTATGCATGCATAATAAAATGGCGTAATATATGAAAATTCAGTAATCAACTAATATTGGGAAAAACTTGAAAAAAAGGTTAAATTGTTCAAAATATACTAACTAAACTATCAATATTAAATTTTCGATTACCTTCGCAACCAGTCTGAACTATAGTATTATACTTTATTGAAGATTGTTATAATCAACATCGGAAAATTCTTTGTGAAATGTCAGAGACACCATCCGAAAGAAATAAACCCATAAACCTAACAATTTATCCAGAACCTGACTTTTCGTTATTGTGCATGTCTTAATCATATATTCGACAAATGTTTTATTTAGCATCGTGATATGTAATACCCGATTAATGAGAAATGGCATAATCATACTTAGACGAAGATAATCAGAAAAAAAGTATGAGCCTAAATGGGTAATTGGATTTTGTTGTCGAGACCAATATGGAGGAAATTCGAAGTTGTGCCAAACTTTCAAAAATTCGGTCTCTCCTTTTGAGGATAAGATTTCAAATGTTGATTGAAGCATTTCTTTGGCAAGACCACCCATGCAATGAAAAGCATCATGCGGACATTGAAGATGATGATCATGCATAACGTTATCAAAGACAGGGGTTTTTTCTCATATACTGTATTGCATAGCAAGTGCATCACGTTATGCTTGAGTCTGAACTCTCCTTATAGTAGAAAATTGTAATATGGTTTTGTGATGGTAACGACTATGTCTCGCAGTGTCAAAACTAACATTATCCAATTCTCTATGATGAATCATACAGTTACGGCATCCATGATGTGCATTGTGATTCTTTACTCCCGCCTGTTCATTACCTTCCGGTAAGTCTCTAGTAATAACACCTAATCCACTAGTAACCTACACAGTTTGATTACTGATTTTCAATTCGTATCCACGTTCGAGGTCCTGAATATCATTAATAAGTGGTTGGAGTACTTTATCACTCGTTGCTGTGAATAGGATAAAACCAAAAAGAAAATGATTTTTAAGCTTTTGACAAAGCGTTTGTTTCATATTACCAATTTGTAAGTAGAGGCTACCGATAGTGTGATATGCAGTACAAAATGGACTAAATTTGTCGATATAAATGTCAAGAAAAAATTTGAATATTGGCAAATTATGCGAATGATCCCGAATCGTGATATATTCAATGAGATGAAGGTGTTATAAATCAATCGACCTCGTAGTCCACCGCGTATTTACACAATACACAATTTTAGATATAACGTATTGATAATTATTAGGCTTGTTAACATCAATTAACCAAATATCAACTTTGGACTTAATCTTTGCAGGATTTATGATAAGCGTTTCATCAGTCATCCACAGGTATCCTTTATGAGAAGCAATTCTTCTTTGTTGGGATTTGAGCATAAGAGGCAATGAATTAAATTCAAGAATATGTTCGATCTTGATACATCATCTTGAGATTTATCAACGCGTAAGATCGATATAATTCGCCTATAACATGTTCGTTGGCTTATATCGTAATATGTGATAAAATCACCAAGACTATATATTACTATTTTCATATTAACGATATGATTAATGAATAAATTAGTATAATGGCATATAGATTTTAAATTAAAAAAACAATATTATATTTACCTTCATTTAGTTTTATGCATACATTACCGAATAATGGGGATTTGTGCCAGAGATCTCCGTGCCATAATTCATGTTTATTCTCACAGTACACACCTAGACCAAAGTACATATTCTCACGTAATAATAGATTTGCTAATACACGATGAAGAATGTCTTTTAAAGAAAAATTTAAAGCATTACGGGTAGGTTTAGAAGTAGAAGGCATATTGCGATTGTTGAGGGTGACTTTGTGACCTTTAAATGGAAGAAGTAGTAAGCCATCACGATACTTTTTAATAGTTGCAAGCGAATATGGAACATCATCTGAATTGAACTCAGAATGTTTGATGATATTTGCAAAGTCTTTATATGCTTTGAAGCCTATTTGATGTTTTGTAATCCATAAAAATATTAAAAATGTAGTAAAATTTGGAAAATATGGTCCGGTATGTCCAGTGTAATGATTATGTTTCTTATTGCTATCATACTCTCTTCCAATAGACTCTTCATCAGTATCTTGGTTATCGCTAGAACTGTCATTGTATGGTTCATCATTTATGGAGGATTGGTAATCATTTGGAGAGAAGTCATTTGGAGAGAAATCATTTGAATAGA